TGAGTTTTTACTGTTAATATTAAAAAAAAATATATATATATTTGTTTTTACCTATATTATCATTTTTATTTTTAACAAAAATAATTGTATATTCTGTTTTAATATTTATATCAATATTATAAAAATTAATACTGTATATTTTTGATTGTTATAAATTTTATCTTATATAATTTATTCAGGTTTGATAAAATTATTCTTAGTAAAACTATATTATACAATATTATTTTTATTAATAAAATAGTATAGGATTATAATTATAACTATAAATTAGTAAAATAATATATTATATAAAAAATTATTAACAGCTTTTGTCATTAGTTGATTCTAAAATTTTTAGCAATTTTTTATTCTTATAATGTTAGATAAATAATTTTTAGACAATTATACTGTAACTATTTGTCTATAATTTGAAAATCTTTACTAATTTTAAATTTTTTTATTTAGATTAACCAAAAAAAGTAAAAATTATAAATAAAAAAAACAATAATCTAAACTAAGATTTAGGCACAGTAGAATAGAGCATATTTATACTTAATTTTAATCTAATACTAATCTATAAAAACCTTGATTTACATTATATAATTAGTTAAATTAGCAGCATAACTGAAATTTTATAAATTAGTCTAAATTATACATTGCAATAGACTAATATTAATTAATTTTATTAAAAATTACTTTAACTTTTACTAATAAAACTATAACTCATTATAATATACTTAGTTGTTATTTTTTAATTTTAGTTTAAATCTGATTAAATTTAATTTATAATTTAGACTAATCTACAGAATATAACAAGTAAAATTTAAAATATTTTTTTAAACTTTAAAAAGAAACTGTTACAACTTTATTGATTTTGATTAAATATAATATCTACTTATTACTTATATAGAAAATATTATATATTGCATATTGATGTGAATAGATATAATAAGTCAGTTACTTGGCTAACAAGACTTTACATTATAATAATAATCAAATGAGTTTTTTTTACTTAGAACATAGGAGTTAATTAACAGATAAGTTATTATTATTAAATTTATTTATTTATATATATATTTATTTATTTGTATTTTATTTTTAAAAATTTTAAAATCTTTTAACTTTACTATAATTTTTTAAACATTAAAGAGAAAATTTTTCTTTATTAAAATTTTTTTTTTTTTATATTTATATCACATACTAATTATAGTTTTCAATTATAAATTTCATTATCAGATATTTAATTATTAATTTTACTTTTTTTATATTTACAATAAGACTTTGTATCTAATTTACTTATTTTTATTATTTATCATTTAACTTTTATTATTTGTATTTTATTACCTATTAGTTTTTTCTATTCTAAGTATATATTATCACTAAATTACATTCTATATTTTGTATTTTACTTGAAACTTCATAATTTTTTAATCTTTATTTATTTCTTTTTAAATTGATTTTATTAAGCATTTATATTCTTTATTTTAACTTAATTATTTATTAATGAACTGTCTTCTCAAGACCAGATATAACTATATTTTTTTTTAGTGCATGATTTTGTTTATTATATGACTATGAAATGATATGCATACAATTTTATTCTTATTTGTTATTCAATTTAGATGCATATACTAAATCAGGATTTTTATACTTCTTTAAATATCATATTATTTTGAACCTATAATAATATTTTTTTTTAAATATTAAGATAAGTACTTGTGACCCAGGATTTTATTGATAGTATATTTGACTAATAGTTGTATTACAAGTACAGAGAGCAACTATAGAAAGAGTATACAACTAGCTACTTGTATAATTTTAGTCATTATCTAATTTAAATAGTTTGCTTGAAGGTTCTATACTAACTGTCATATCTAAAACCTGCTTGTAGATTCCCTATTTAACTACTCTAATTTTCGTATTTATTCATCTACTTCTGTTTATCAACAACTCTGACTAATGTTGATAAAAATATGTCATGACTAATAAGTTCTTAAAGTAGTTCTTTAGAACCTTTAATTTTGTACTAAACCTTTCAGAATCTTCTGTATTTCATTTTTACAGCTGATCTAGTATTACTATAGCTAAGACTAATATTGGCAGTTAGGATATACTATTAAACTGTTATGCCCTTATAGAGTTCACTCCAACTCTGGTACTGACTTCACAATATATTCTTATTACTTTGGTATTCAATTCAAGTTCGACCAAGTTGTTATTTCAGATAGTCTAAAAAAGTAGATCATAACCATATACCTTTGGTTTATATGTTTGCCAACATGTATCTTTTTCTTCTGAAATTCAGAAATACTGACAACCTGATAGGTTCATCTGATCTCTCCTCAAAGACTGACACATTTGCCTAGTTTTATAAATTCTAACTCTATTTTATAAGTCTAATCTTTACAGTAGCACTATTGAAAGTTCAGGTTACCTCTCTATTTAAGCTTTCAAGTAAACTTCTGTTTTCCTATCTGGTTCCTGTAATTTACACAGTCTAAAAACTTATCTTAGGTTTACACCACCTAGTACTGATTTGTGTTTCTTCATATAACATTGCATGAGTGTCTAGACCTTCCAGTCATGCTAGTATAACCTGAGTTACAGATATCTTATCCCAACCAATCACAGAAAACAGTTAACCATAACACAGAAAGAATTGCAAATTTTCACCATCACTGAGATTTGAATTCTAGACCTATCACTTGGGGATTAATAATCTATTCACTTCACTAGATCACCACACCCCTACTTATAATAATATCAACAAGGTTACAATTAATTATATATATAATTTTAATTATTATTTATTTAAAAGTTTCATCTACAGATTACCTACTAATCACCATATCTAAAACCCACCTGTTGGTTTCTTATTTAAAGTTCCTAATTTTTCAATGGTTTTTTTGTAATACCAGATTTAATTTAATATTCATTAGGTCTTCAGACTATTTTACCTATAAGATAAACTCTACCAAGACAGGAGTAGATTCCACTGTTATAGGTTTATTCTGCAAGAGATGTTTCTCAATTAGTAAGTTCAATCTATTTCCACAGGTCTTCCTGTGTTCACTGCTTCTCTTACTAAGTATAATGCTTGCACTTCACAAGTTGATCTCCTTCCAGAAATTCCTAATTCAAACAGGTATTCACTTGGACTTGTGTTACAGGATTTCGCATTGGTCATAGGCTTCTAATTAGATTACAAAGTATATTTCACCTCGAACCATTGACCTTGTCTATGGTGAGTTTGGAGCTTAACCACTAAGCTATGGGACCCAGACTCTGGCAGGGATGTAAAATTTCAGTAATTTTATGTAATTTTACGGAATTTTGCGTAATCTTCGGTAAATTGAAATTAGTTTTTGAGATCAAATTTTACGGAATTTTGCGTAATATTCGGTAAATTGAAATTAGTCTTTGAGATCAAATTTTCGACGATTTAGGAGTTACAATTCGAATGTACAATTCAAATCAAATGATGCAATAATACTGGGCAAAACTTTTGTACAATCTGGTTTTTATGTATGAATAAGGAAATTACGATTTTCGGAAATTTACGTGTAGTACAGGTTGATCGGCAAATGAAACCTCTCTTAGTGCTCTAAGAAAAAAAAATTCTACTCGCAATTTTGGTATATATTTTGCCTAAATCCCCCCATACACTCCAACCCTAACATTAAAATCTGTTTAATAGAGGCCAGTAGTGATAATCTGTTACATATTCCGGTCTTGCGATATAATATGGTATGCCCATGGGCATGAGGGGCATTCCCAATTTTTTACCCATGCAACAAACCCTAGTTTAAACCCCTCTTGATTTATAATAAAAAATGTCGGGAAGACAATTTTACTATAAGGCATTCCCTAACCTTAACCCCAAACTAACCCTTACCCTAACTTTAATTAAAAAATCAAAAACATGACTGGACTCTGCTTTAGACGTCCTCTATGTTTAGATGCTATGCTTAATACTGTCACCCCCAAAACAATTCCTATATAGATCAGGTAAAGATGTTATAATAGAAATTTTACTAGTCAGCCAACATGTCACAACGTTTCATCACAGAGGTTTAAGTTGCGATTAAGATCATTTTATTCTTGGAGTATAATTTTATTTGAAAAGATGAAAGTTCTATATCTTTACATAGAGATTAAGGTTTTTAAATTTTTTGCATCATACGTACTTAAATAAATAAATAAATCGACGAATAACGTTTTTATTCATTGGAAATTTGATAAGGTAAATGATTGGGGGCCGTCAACTCTTGAAAATGAAATCGAAAAAGAAACATTTGCAAATGATTAATAATTAGTATTGTAAGATAAAGTTTGAATCCCGATACGTATTGTTGGAGTTTTTAAGTAAAAAAATAATTATATGGTTGACCGATATCGGATTTAGTTGCCTCCCTCCGCTTCAGCTCAACAATATTTATCCTTTAAACTGTAAACTTGGCAGGTAAATTTTCCAGTAAAGAACTACAAATAATCGTGCATTTTAATCCTCCGGTAAACCTCATGCATAAATCATTTAATTATGACATGAATATGCTGGTTTGAATTTGTTAGATATTGGAATCAGTGCGTGATATGAGCATTTGTTTAAGCATAGAGTTAATAGTTTTGTGGGTGTTTGCATATGTAATTGTAATTTGATTAGTTTGTTTATATGTAGCTACTGTAAATCCAGAGATTCCAGTTAATTAAGAAATTTTTTGGCATAGTTTTCTTAGCAGTCAGAATTTTCCGTTGCTAGTACAAGAATATTTATTTGAGCAATTATAGTAACTGACATGACGTGTACAACTTTCTAAACAGCTATAGTGTTTTTTATAAAAATTTGAATATAAAAAATCTTATATCAGATATACAAAAAATAGTATCAAAAAACATCTAATAGGTGCAAAAGCACCATAGCTTTATTTTATAATAATAATATAACTATATACATTCTTGATTGTATAGATTTATATTAATAATTATAATTGTGTATATTTATATGAGTTATTTGCCAAACTTCATAATCTTCTATTTCATATTTTGGTAACTTTGGAAAATTTTTTGAATCAGGATAACAACTACGCCTCCCAAAATATAATATGTTATTATATATACACATATCATAACCTTCTTTATAATCAGAATGACCAAAAATTGGACCATTTAAAGAACTATATTCAACTGCATAAGAGTCCTTTTTAACACGTGCAAGAATTGACCGACTTAAATCATCAGTATTTTCGAAACAAAATAAAAAATTTTTATCAGATTTTGCGTAATAAGCCATAGTAATATGATCTCTAGGTTCATAAGGTTCCCAACTTAAATGATTATAACCACCAAATATCATATCTGTTCCTTTAATTTTTACTATCGTAACAGTTGATCCTTTTTTATCACATAATTTATGAAATTTTTCTGCTTCATATCCATCTCTTTTAGCACAATAGAGAAGATTGAAATAGTAGGTATCATTATCAAGATTATGAATACCAGATTGATAATTGTCAAAGTTCAAGTAATTTTGAGGAATAGTGCTTTCCCGTTTGGATTCTTCAGGCTTCACACTTGACTTATCATGAATGTGTAATATTTTTTCCATGAATGATTGCCTTTTCCGTTTAGTCTCAAGAGTTTTTTCAACAGTACACAAATTAATCCAATTCGCAATAATATTAAAGCATTGCGATTTAACAAACACTAAATGATTAGAAGGAGCATATCTGGGTGGAAATGTTCTAAATGTTCTGTTTGGTATGATAGAATTAAGATGATAATGTAAAACATCATTGTATAAATCATTAGTTAAAATCTTTTCGAAAAATAATAAATTTTGTTTAAATCTTGTAGACGAGATTTGAAACCAATGAATTAAAGGAATAAATTCATGAATAGTCTCTTTAAAAGCAACGTAATCAGATTCTATCCAATCATTGATATTTTTACTTTGAAGAATATCAGATGCTTGAGTAATTCCCCACTTGATTAAATTATTCCAAATATCATCTTCACTTATGTTGCCAAGATCATCTCTTTGTAACGTAATTTTTAATAAATATCTATCTAAATGAATAAATTTTGGATCATCAAACAATAAACCTGGATTCATACAAATATAATAAAGGCAATGATCGCGCAGCGATTCATATATCCTGTTATTATGTTTAAAGATCATATCAAAAATGGAAATAATATCTTCTCGCATAATTTCTTCAAGTTTTTGATTCATAAAAGATTGAAAATTATCAACAAGATTTTGAAGTTGTAATTCGTCAGCTGTTACCAAAAGGTGCAATATTTCAACGCCATTTAGTTTATCTGGAAAAATTTCCGACGTATATAAATATCTTTTATAGAATATAAAACGTTTCGTAAGAAAACGAAAATTGTTCAGTACTATAAAATATAAGTAGCAATCAATTATAAATTACCTTAAAATAGTTTCAAAAATACTTGCTGGGATATGTTGTTTTGTAAAAACAAAAATATTTCCTTGTTTCATCGTATTTTCGTCCAAAAAAGCGGCTTCAAAATAAGGGGATTGCAAACTTAATATAAGAGAATGTGCATGAAACTCCTTGGAATTATCTCCTTCACCAGCATAAATAATAACATCATAACTTTTTCCACTTTGAAGTAATCTTTCATTATCATGAGCAAGATCCTCATAAAGAGAAACCCTTCTTTTAAGAGATTTTTTAGGAATTTCTTGACTATCTTTAGGTGGCACATTTCTTAGTGGCAAAAATTTAACAGTTTCACCTGGAACAGTATTGTCAAAATGATAATTTACGATATCTAAATATAGGGTTGAAGGTAATAATTTTTCAATCCACGATAAATTTTTCCGAAGTTCAGTTATTGGAATTTGAAACCAACGAATAAGAGGAACACAATCTCTGATAATTTTTTGCAATTCAATATAATCAGATTTTTTCAAATTTGTTATATCTTGAGTAGTAGCAGTTAATATTCGAGCCATCCCCCATTTGACTAAATAAGTTAAAATAGTAATTTCATTTAATTTACCAAGATCATTTTGTTGCAAAACAATTATTAAAAGAGTTTCGTCCAATTGAGTAAAATTTGGATGTTCAAATAAGGCATTCGGATGTCTACAAATAAGACCAAGACAAGAATCACGTAATGGATTACATATACTATTATTATGTTTAAAAACTTCCTGAAGCATGCCAACAGCATCATGTTGTATAAATTCTTCTAGCTTTTGATCCATAAATGATTGCAAATTTTCAATAACTTTTTCAGGAAGAAATTTATCAGCCGCTATGCGAAGATGTAAGAATTCGACACCGCTTAGTTCATCTAAAACAATTTCCGCAGTGTATAAATATCTAAAATACAGAGATATGTATTAAATAATATAAAATTAGCAATAGTAGAATGTATTCGTGATAGTGATTATAGTGTAAGAAATTATTATAATACCTTAAGATGATTTTAAAAGTATTTGAAGGAATAGTTTGAAAATCAAACATATAGAAATCACCAGCTTTTTCAATGTTGTCATTAGAAAAGGCGGTTTCAAAATAAGGAGAACGTGCAATCAAAATAGTTGAATGCGCAAAAAATTCTTTTGAGTTCTCTCCTTCATCGACGTAAATTATAACATCAGAATTATATTCGCTTAGAAGTATCTTTTTATTAATACGAGCAAGGTCTTTATAAGAATTGGAAGTCATTTTTATTCTATCAATATTGTTCAAAATGTGAGCAAGTTAATTATTGATTATCATTATTGACGAATATGTTATTTAATACTTATGTATAAATTTAGATTACACACAAGCTAAGTAGAGTAACTACAAATATAACCTATGCAGTCGAGTATGTGGGCTGGCTAAATCCTAAATTTACGTTTCAAAACTAATTATGAAACAATAACACGTGAGAGTGCAACTCACACTATTTTTAGTGTACTACGGTCATTTTATCAAACCGCAAGAATAAAACAAAAACAATAATAATAATGATAACCATAATATTTATTCTGCTTGGATCTCATGATCCATCGAACGAATGGCATAAAAAATTCTGATTTCCTGTTGACAAACAAGGTAAATTACCTACCGGTAAGTTACGAATTACTTCAGAGTTAGCGTTAGTTAAAAGGTAGATAGCATTGTGGCGCAAATTAACAATTACGACAAAATATATCATGATAGCGACATTTATAAATAAAATGATATTTTATGATATAATTTGGATTCAGCACATGATAAAATTACCGGATTTGAGTTACTTTACTGGTCAGGCATTATAATTTACCAGGTAAGTTACTGTAGCGTTCGGTAACTTACAATGAAATTTAGAAATTACGATAAGTTTACAACTTTTTGATAAATAACGGAATATATATTATACAATATCTCCTGCGCCGATAATTATTTACAGTTATTTATAGTCCTTAATGAACTTGGACACAAACTTCTATTGTAAAATACCGGAGGTTAAGTTGACTTCCGGCGTAGTTTTAAAGCCGCCGGAAATTTTATAATATAAATAAGGCGCTTAAAGAGAGTTAGTAATGAGTGTAATATATTGTATCGTGCAAGTACATCATATAACAGATTTTGTTAAACATTTATGCATTTATATTTAAATTAACAAATCTTGAATAAATATACTAGAAGGGTGAATTATTCTTGAAGAAGACCTTTATTATACTATTTTTGTTAATATCAAATTTATTATTACTTATTATATCTACAAAATAATGGTACAAATATTAAATTGATGAATCAAAAATATATTAACAATTAAAAAAAGAACCATCAGGAGCTTTTCACTCGCTTGGTACTTAATGTCTTTTAATTATCGCTCATTAGATTTAAATCATATCATATGTAAGTAGTCTATGAATGAGCAAAATAATTTTAGTAGTAATAATAACTTATAATTATGCCTTATTTGATAATAGTAATTATTACATTTTATTACTTATTGTATACAGATCATTAATTGGAAAAATAAGTAAATTTGTAGCTAAAAATAGAATCATCATAATATTACCGATTATTATCTATTGCCAAAGAATCTGACTGCCGCAAGCAGTGCGAAAACTTCATGTTTGGTAATTAAGCTCCGCAACTATGATAGAAGTACAAGGTCCTCATCTCGTGAAGGTTAAGGCACGATTCTTTGAAAGTTGGTTACACGTCAATACATTTCCCCGACACTGTAATGCCGACATGATTGTCAGAGAATGTCTTATATAAGAAAAGGATTATCGAAAACATGTAATGTCAAATAAAAATGTGCTGTAGATAAAATATCATGTCGGCATTACAGTGTTGGGGAAATGTGTTGGCAGGTAAATAACTTTCGGGGAATCGAGCAACAATCCTCATGAGTAGGCTTCATAGCAGTAATAGAAATGCAAGGACCTCGCTGCCGCAGGTAGTGCAAGGACCTCGTATTGTGATTAAGGCACCATGGCTGCCGCAGACAGTACAAGAGCTCATGTTTGGTGATTAAGCCTTGCAACTAAAGACTTCATATTGTGGTTAAGCTTTATGGCTACCGCAAGCAGTGCAAAAATGTCATATTTTGGTGATTATGCTACATAAATAGCAATGTAAGGCCCTATAGGTAAGTAACATATACATGATAAATCTATTTTTAAATTTACTAAAGGTTTCATCAAATTACATGCTTGACAAAACTGTTGACGATTGACAAAGCTGTTGACGTTTGGCGAAGCTGTTGAAGATTAACGTAAAAGTGTTGGGGGCGAAACTTAGAGGTTTCATCACAGACAAATAGTGAAACCAAGTTTTAACCTTCACCAAAAAAAAAAAAAAATTAAAATGGAGAAATTGCGAAAGGTAGCGAGACTTGCACAACTGGCGGAACTATTAAAAGTTGGCGAAACTAGTGAAAGATAGTAAAATTAGTATACTATATATAAAGCACTATGAAAAGTTTACTATATATTTGACAAATCAAAAAGAGAATAATAACTTATTAGGATAAATTTTACGAAGGTCGATCCAATAATTTAATTTAAATACATATTCACGTGATAAACAAAAAATTATAAATACAACCTGAGTACGATAAAAAATCTTTGGACTTGCAAAAATAGATATGCACATGCAAGCAGTACAGTAATACAGTAATACGTAGCACATATAACATAAGATAAAAATTTTGGATGAAAATCAGTTCTGCTTTAGTTTAAAAGGAAATGTGGCGGACCAGCAAGACATTTAATAACAAATCACTGCTAATCGTAAACTTACACGGAAATGATCAACAGCATTTCGAAAAAAAATATTAGAGTGGGTTAATACGTACACGAACCAAGCTTCGCCCTAAAAAATCAGTTACAGTTTAAACTCAAACAACTCAATCAAATTTAGTTCAGACGGTTCAATATGTGCAATTAATTTTGGATTTTGATTATTAACGATAAGTTTTTAAATTTTACTTCTTTACATATACTGCAAATCGAGCAGAAACCAGAACTTTTTTGTAAAGAAAAACTCGTTCTGAATGCTTAACATGTATTAAAGAAAGTAAAAAGTGAATATATGAAAAAAAGGTTTACTGATTTTAAAAAATTGTTATTGATATCTGTACATTTCTTAAAAGTCGGTTTGCCCTTCGCAAACATTTAGTTTCAATGTGCTAATAAGATTCAACGCATTAATAAACATCCATTTCTTCGTGAACCTCAACAAACTAGATGCTCGCTGCATTATCTAATCCCGAAGTGAAATATTGTGGTTATAAGGAAGCCAAGATAGATTTAAGTATGGACGAATATGATTCAAGTGCTAGTGATGTTGAGGTTACAAATGATAAAGCTATTGAATTAAAAGAAATACCAGTAAAAGTACTATTTATTTATTTTATTATTATACAAGCTATTTATACAGTCGACTTTGGATATAATGAACTTCTATGTACGAACTCCGGATATAACTAACCTAGAATTTTAAAATTTCATAATAGTTCGATATAGAAGTGTCATGGGTCCTTAAAAAAACATTGTAATTTTCTATAATGAGCTTTTTATTTCTTTCAGAACTGTCAGTTTGTCATAGAAAGAGTTGGTCATATTTTTCACGTATTAATAAAAATAATTTATAAGCGATAAAGTTTATTGAAAATTTGAAACTTTACTCAACGATGAAAATAGTTAAATGTGATTAGCTTATTAAAGAAAAAACGTCAAGAAGGACAGTACAATGTAGAGTTCCAATCCGTTTATCCATATCTGAATTTTTCGGATATCCATTTACTATTGATGTCCGGATATTAAGATCGTGATATCCAATAGATAAATTGATAATGATTTGAACTCTAAGTTTGTCTAAATTATTTTTGAAAAAAGTAATTTTACATGAACTTTCACAAATAATTACATTAATGTATTTTATTTAAGAATTCAAATAGTTTCGACAATAATTTCGCCACTTATATTTATTAAGAAAATTAACTTAGCAACTTGTATATTTCTTCATTGATAAGTCATTAGTACTATTTGAATTATTAAGTATTAGAGATGAGCAATGTAATAATTATGTAAAATTTTAACCCTTATATATTTGATAAATTATTACATATTATTAAGTAATTTAAGAGTCTATGATGATTACAAATAAACTAAAATATGTATTATATATACAAAATTGTTAAATAAAAAGATCGATCGTTTTGAATGTTAATAACATGTCAATTGGCCTTTACCAAATTTGCAAATTCAACATTTGCCTTGTGAACTTTCAATTGTTTCTACCGGCTATCCATTAGGCCTTCTTTGGCAAGCTTTTCAATCAGGTAAAACTAACAAAAGGTTTAAGTTAAATATATATTTTGTAATTCCGTGTATATTTCTGAAATAATTTTCAGGATGAAGTATTGTAATTAACTATTTTTGTTGCACAAGTTATGTAAATATCACTTATTTCTGTTGAAGCAAAATCACAGCATAACAAGCTTACAAATGAACATGCAGCAAAAATAATATGTATTCTATGACATATTGTATATTGTACAGAAAAGAAATGATTCATATTATATTGTTCAAAAATAAAGAAAATAGACTTGATCAAATCATTCAATCTAATACAGCTAATTCTAATGAAACAAGTCTTGAATATATTTTGAATTTGATGATATAAAAAATAATGATGATAATTTGAATTTTGTTTACCGAAAAAAAAGCAGGTTACAACTCCTAAAAATTTTGTGTTATATCAATATAGACTGCATAAATACAAGATGTTTTATTATATTTTAGATATATGATGTAATTTAAAATATAAATATGCAATCTTTGCTAATAAAGTTTTTCAAATCGTTTTGGAAGAAATACTTTTAAACATTCCTTATGAATTCTAGATCTTACAATTCAACAATAAATTCGTCCGCAAAAAAACTGTACCTTACAACAATCATACCTCGTGGTCAGCCCTGGTTGAAATTTTCAGTGGATTAAGCTGATAGCAAATTAAATTATACACTTTATTTTTAAAAAGAAAAATATATATACGCATATAATAAGATTATTCTCATGATATTGGCATTAGTATTATTTGAGAGCTAATCATCTATTTTGTGTGATCTAATGCATTGATTAAAGAGCTTTTAATTGATTATGAATTTTGCATAAGCTAATGCTACGCAATTGTAAAATACTTAAACCCCAAAATTGCTATTCTCAAATTATTAA